CTACAAAGAGATCCACATTTCATGTCAAGAAGAATAGTTTTCTATGTTCAGAATAAGGCAAATAGATGGATATTTATATTACAGACAGATAACATATTTGTGAGCAGCTAGATAATGTCAAGAGGTAGAAACCAACTAAAGAGTGGTTACCCTCAATCCATCCCATCCTCTGATGTCATCATTCTTCAACCTGTTCCAAAACCCATTTTGGTTTTTATTCTGGGATAAGAGTCATGGAACTTAATATCTCCTTTTATACTAGTATCACCTAGTATTGGGACCCCAGATGTTCTTGAACTGCAACTCCCAGCAGCCCTTGCCAGTGGTGAAGGATTCTGGGAGTTACAGTCCAAGAATGTCTGGGGACCCAAAGTTGGGAACCACTGCTCTAGACAGAGATAGTGATTCAGATGGCACTTGGAGGAATTGCTCCTTTTGATTTGGCTATGGAGATTGTGAGGCAATTGAGATCAATGCTGGGCCACATATGGTTCTCCAGATGTTGTTGGACTGCATCTCCCAATAGCCCTAGCTAGTCTAGACACTGTTGAAAGATTACAGGTGTTGTGGTCCAACAACACTTGGAGAGGCACAACTTTTCCCACACTCACTTTAGATGTATTCTTAGTGTCTTCAACATCCTACATAGAATTGTACTACTACATTTGATTCCTCTTAGAAGTCAGTCACTCACCCTCTACTTCATCTACAGTGAAGCCAAGCCAGTTAAAGAGTCTTCCCTGAAATGTGGCAGTGATTGAGCTAGAGATGTCACTAGTGCACCACTTGTTGCACTAAGTTATGTCATCACTCCCTGAAATGTGGCAGTGATTGAGCTAGATATGTCATTAGTGCACTTGTTGCACTATGTTATGTCATCAACAATTTTAGGCAATCTTAGTAAGGGTTTCAAGATACATGAGTTGTTCAGGGAGAGTTTTACAATCCCCCCTCCCCATGATTTTTGATAGCCAGACAGGAATTTGAAATCACATAGCCTAAGTTCTAGCCCATCACTCTATCTACTATACCACATAGACTGGATGCACTGTTATCTGGCTTGTTACACAAACATATTCAACTTGGAATGCTCAGATTTATTACACAATTCAAGCATCATTTATGCAAGAAATTGCTAGATTGAAATGCAAAATGAGATAGTGGGGCTGCCCAATCTGCTTTAAAGTCGCATATTGAATTTTTATGAGTCTCCTAAATTGTCTCAAAATTTCTGTTTTCAAGGAAGGAAGAACTTGAAGACAACAATCAAGCTAAATGCATAAAACCCAACAGTATCTCCACAGTATCTTTCTGCCTTTTTGTCCAAGTCAAAGGGCTATGCACACCAATTGGCAGCCTGAAGCAGCTGCATCATGCAACAGATTTTGGGTGTCATGGCAGCACAGCAAATTCTTAACTGTTTAATTTATTTTCTACTCTCACTTTTTTCATCCTCATCCAGAAGGATGAGGAACTGCCATTATTATTCTTGTCAGCTACAGTGGCAAAGAATCTTCTGGTATTCTTGACAGTTTTCTTACTTTTGCTGGGATGAAGTTTCATGGAAAATTCTATTATTGAGTGAAAAATTGTACAATCCTTATGAACTATGCAAACTGCAGAAACTATCCAGAAGTATGATGATTGTTGGTTTGTTTCAGAATCTGAAGCACTGGTGAGTTGTTTGTAGAGACGCACACTCACACCAACATTCAGATTCAGAATTCCAAAATTTGCATGAAGAATTTGGAATTTTAAAAATTCATAATTTCCGGATATCTGGAGATTTGTTACAATCAACATGAGACCTATATAGTCACTATTTCCTTTTAAAAAACAAAGAGACAAAGCATTTCTAAAGGATTTCCCTGTGTAATCTGATATTTTTCTAGTGACTGTGCAAAACAAAATGTATGCAAGCCAACAGCCAGCAGTGCCCAAGAATTAGGGAATGACTGTAAATAAAGCCAATAAAAGTGTATACAAGAGGAAAGAAGACATTCATCCTCTCTCTCTCTCTCTCTCTCTCTCTCACACACACACACACACACACACACACACACACACACACACACACACAACACACACACACACACAAACACACAATTGTAGTGGTAAATAGTTTAAAAAACTAGCTAGGTCAGGTAAGAAAGAAAACATTAATTTCTAGAATGTGAATCTACAAAGGACAGAAATGAAAGATCCATGGGAGTTTTGCTCCACATAGTGGCTTACCAAAAGCTCTTTAGTCTGCTCCATGGTCACTTAGAACCAGAAAACATCTCTGATCTGGTCTGTTTTTATGCACATATTCCCCCATATACACATGTCATGTATGTATGTATGTATGTATGTATGTATGTATGTATGTATGTATGTATGTATGTATGTATGTATGTATGTATGTATGTATGTATGTATGTATGTATGTATGTATGTTTTATTTACTTGTATACTGAAAATACACTAGCAATATCAGAGTTATAGGGCAACCCCTGAAGGAAAACAGATCTCCAGAAAGAATAAAACAAAGGATCAATGAGCAATTTCTGGGGCTACAGAAGATGGAACTAGACCAAAATGTTCCAAGAATAGAGGATTTTGTTATAGTGTTGTAAAGGAATGACCACATTAGCAAAAAAATGTAGGAAATGCCATAGGTTTTGGAGTAGGCTGATTCACGTTTTTTCTATTGATCATATGGCACAACTAGCCTATCACATCCACTGTGATAGAGGATGTTATCTCACTGCAAAGATTTAAGAAAATTTTCAATCAGTCTACATACCTTCTGTATCTGGAAAGGCAAGCAGGGCCCATCTTGTCTTTGGTTTCAGGCAGTAACATGTCTTGATCCGAACACATAGGAGATGCTCTATACGTGTCCCAGAAGAGTCTGTGCAGTACCTACCTACATCTCTGTCCTCCAACAGAGGAGAACATCCAAGTACAACAGAAGCAGACAGAAGGCTGCCTTTGCTGCCTTCTAGTAACTAAGATATCTATTATGTTCATACCATGAACAAACTCAAGTTCAGCAATGTAAAAATAAGAGTAAATCATCTAACTTAGTCTTAATGTAATGGGTCAGTGGACTCCTAATGGATGTGATTACAACGTAACAGATAGATAATCCAATGATGAAAAGAAATATGATGGTGTTTCTAAAGACAAAAAAGGGATTAAACAATTAGGTTAGACTGAATGAAAGTGAAGTAAGAAAAGAAAGGAGGGGAGGAAACACATGTTTTCTACTATTTTCATTTTTTCATTATTTATGTATTTATTTATTTATTTATTTATTTGATTTATATCCCGCCTATCTGGTCTACTCAATAAGTTCTATCTATGACTCACATGGTATGAAATTTTACTCTTGGAAACATTAATGTATAGTCTGCTGTATTATTGCCACTTTTAAAAGACTGGTAACATGTCCAATGCTTGAAAAAGGGAAGAGCATGCATGCATACATGCATACACAAAGGGCCCTTTGGCTGTATAAAGAAAATAATTTATATTTGCTGTATGTTTTTGTGGACTTCGGTGCACTTCATCAGATGCATGGTGTATTACCTGTGTCATAACATATTAAGGACATTCCAGAATGGGTGGGGGGAATATGGTAAAATAGAAATGCATCAGCTCGACAAATTTATGATAATCTTAACAACATCTCAATTGTTGGAGGTACAGGGACATAATAGCTTAGGTTAGCAAATCACTCTGTATGCTTATGATGATTCCTGCCCTTTAGTCCAGGGGTATCAATCAAGCATCCCACAGGCATCTATAGACTTCCAGTGGTATCTTTTTTTTAAAAAAAGTGTTCAAAACCTGAAGAATCACCTCACCAAATCTCTGCTGATTCAATGGCCTTCTCTAGTTGTGGCTTACTACTGATTTTCAGTCATGTGTCTCAGGGGACTGAAGCATGGCCCACTATCTTTTTATTATTGATATTTCTGATATTAGATTTGTGTCTTTTTTCTTTTTCCTTTTACACAGAGTTGACTTATTTGTCCTACATAAAATGCATTAGAACATTGCTGAATCCCAACAGTGCAGAGGAGTATAATGTAGGGAGCTGCTTTTGGTCCTTGACCAGGTAGTGAGTCCTTTTCAGCTAGCTTGGCACATGTATGCTGCTGGATCAGACAGCACCAACTATAACTTTTGCGAGAGCTGGAGTGGGTGCTGTGCATTCAGAAGAGGTCTAGCCAGGCCATCTGAAGAAGACCTGTTAAGGGTCTAGAACTGTTAGAGACAGTATTGTAGACTGGCATGGGGCCCTGGGTGGTGAACGCCACCACCCTAGGCACTGCACTCAGAGGGGCCTAAATAGAAGGATTCAGCGAGAGCTTGAGGTATGCTCTCTGACCGAATACACTGGAAAGTGTTCCAGAATAAAAGGTTTGTTTGAAATGATACTCTGTAGATACATTCCCTTCTGACTAACCTGGTGGAGCCATTCAGCGTTCCCCTTCCCATAGAGAGCATGGGGGCATGCACATTCCCACATTAAATTTAAAAATTATTTATTGTGTCAACAATTAACCAAATAAAATATTCAGTAGTGACCTTCAATACGTAGAGTGAATCCCAGTACAGAGGGCATTGTATTGTAGCAGTCTGTTAGGCAATTGTTAAAGATGAGGAATTTGGGGGAGGGGGCAGAGGTAGTTAACCCTATTTCTCTATAATGAGTATGGTTGAATATACAATGAATACTTTTCATAACAAAAAGCATTCCTTGCATGGGCAAATCTGCCAGTGTTGCTTTCTCTCTTATTTGACCTTTCCATTAAATTTATGAATAAAATCGTCCTTTTTGCAAAGTTATTGCAAACAACAACAACAACAACTTTATCACCCACCACAGTTCTGCAGCTCTAATGGCTACTTGGAGTTTGCAGAGGATCATAAATCTGATTTGCTTATTACAAGAAGAAGCCAATGAAAGCCAGTAAGGTCATGTCTGTTTGTCTCCCTCTGCTTACCATAGATAACTCTTAAAACATTATACTGGAAATTTGCAGATCTGTCCGAAGAATTCCTTTCAATTTTTCAAGATCTTCAATTTGCTTTGCATTTTTCAAATTACCAAATTCATCTCAGTTTTTTCTGTAGCTCAAAATCCATGGTCACACAAGACAGTTAGCACATGAATCTGTCAGCCTTCATGATAAACAGTTGAGACTTTACTGTCTGTTCCATCCAACTATGAGGTCATAGACAGACACATGAGACAGAACAAGGTCTTCACAGTACTGTAGTGACTTTGGAACCTCCTGCTAGTGGACGCCCATGGCACCCTACCATATCTGTTTTCAGGAGCTTTGGGTTTCAGGCTGCATCTAAGAGTACTAGTTAGTTCTTAAATCTGCTGTTGTGTCTTTTAAATCTCTACTGCTATCTGTTTTCATTTGTTTCATTCATTTAATACTTGTTTTGTGTTTTGGGAATACTTTAGTTTAATAACTGAATTTTCCATTGTGGATTGTAATTATGTTTTATTTTAGTTTACTTGTATTTTGCTTTGGAATACATACCTTTGTACAGAAGCTGAATATAGATAATACACTGAACTAAATTGAATGCAGAATTAGAGGTGGGCACGAACTGAACTACTGTACAAACCAGAAAACCTAACAAATCGGGCCGGGCCATCGTTTGGTTCACCATCCTGTTTGGGGATCCCGTTTTGCCAAAGCAAAACAAAGCACTGAACTTTTTTCTCCTCGGCGATTCATTTTGATTTGGCAAAATGGATGCCCACCTGTCCCCTTCCCGTTGCATCCATTGCCTCTCTACCTGGTCCTGCCACTGCTGCCGCCATCATTGGAGACAGGCTTCCCTTCCAGGAACTGAGCCTGCTAGCTCTTCACATGTGCCCCCTGCCCAGCTGATCAGGGCAATAAGCTGGGTGTCAGACGCATGTGCAGAGGCAGCACCTGGGCTCATTGCTGGGAAACCAGTTGCTACCTTCAGCATCTACGTCCACCTCCCAGCTGATCTGGGCAATCAGCCTTGGGGTCAGGTACATGCACAGATGGCAGCACCTGGGATTCTGGAAAGGAAGCTGTGCCATTGGGGTCATGGCACTGGTGGCAGGAGCAGTGGCATAGCAGCAGCGGTGATGTGGCAACAAAGCAGTGGCGGTACAACAAGAGCAGATGGGCCGCCCACCTGGCATCAACTGAAAAACCAGCCACAAATTGGTTCAGTTTTTCAGTTGGTTCATGGCTAACCATGAACTGCAAACCATTATGAATCACTATTTTTCAGGTTTGTGCCCATCTCTACCCAGGACTCTATGAACTACCTTAAAAAGAAGTTTTAGGTACTCCTGAATTATGCATGCAGTGAAATACTAAAGTATATTAACTTTTACTCATACCCAGAAGAACTTTTCTTATATTATTATTTCATAAATCCTTCACAGTATTTACCATACCACCTTATTTACCATAAGATGCAAATATAACATTTCTAAATTCTTGCCTCACATTCCTGGTGCACTTTTTGACTGTACTGAATAAAAGAATGCAAGGCAAATGCTATTTTTGAGCAATAACCTAACCCAAACTCCTCCAAACAATGGCATGGTTTACCTGTTATTCACTCTGTGGGGAAAAGTTGATTGTCTTGTAATGCCTTCTGACTCCCCTGCCCATCCCCACTCCAGGGTAAATGGTAAGAAAGCAGGCTCCTCATTATTGAAGGCCAGGAAGCATAGACTTGAATGAGCCTCATTCAGGGCTCTGTAGCCAAGTAAGCAAGAGAATAACAGTTGCTAATCAATACAAAAATAAACACAAGCAGAAAGCCTGAAGGCATAACATTTGAATAAAATAAATCAGTTTTATTTTTTCCTGGCGAGCAATATAAAAACATTTTCTTTTTCGCAAAAAAAAATAAAAATTAATTGATACTATTCACTGATGATGGCCACTGAATCGTTAACTGTAATCCTCAGCACAGGTAGACTGAATGATAAGTTTGTGTCCCATGATTATATGCATGTAGGAGTAGCATTTGATCTTTTCCGGCAGCATTCGCTATGAAGGATTGTTTACTTCGTTCCTCTAAACTCTTCACCGGCGTCTGCCTGGTGTTACTCATAGCAATGGTGCTTAATAACAGTGAGAGATATTCATCTTTAATTATTTATCAATACAATGCCTGTCTTTGTTAAAAATACAATATATTATCTGTCCTCTTTCAAAATCAAGAGAACTTTTCTGATGCGCTAGTTAAATATTGGAAATCTAAAAACAAGGATTCTGTTACTGGAACTGGAATCTTGTGGACTGAGGATGAGGCTGAAGACTTACAAGTAGGCTTTGTAATATAGAAAAAGTCTGCAGATGTTCTTAGAATCATTACCACCTTCATCTGCCTACAACTGTCAATCCTCAAGTGTTCCTTCAAGCCCGGAAATTAATAGGGGATTAGTACATTAAAGTCCTATGATTTGCTGTCAGAATGAAGGCTCTTAATTATTCAGGTAAATACATGAAAACCCCAGATGTGTCACAACACCTATAGACTGTTATAAATTCATATAATAAGATGTAGCACAATGGTCTTCCAGGGAACGAAAATGCTTGCTTACTATAGTGACCTCCTACCACACGGACTAGTACATTAGTTATAATCCTAATAATCCTAATACTCCTAAAGAAAAGTAGAGGGGAATTAGATTTTTTCCGAATAAGGAATGGCGAGGTTGCTGTAGAAATGGCAATACAGGGCTTGGAAAATTATACATGGAAGAGTAAGGGCATAGGTACAAGAACCAAAACCTAGCATAATCTATGTCATCAGTTGCTGTCAGGTTGGGAACCCTCCATGGATGGTCCATGATTCCTGCTGGGGCTCTCCATTGCTCAGCAGAGATGTACCTTCATGGATCGCTTGACTACAGTGCTGAACTTAATATTTGCATGTATACAAAGTCTCCCCGGGGCTATACCTCAGAAGTTAATTAATAGAGCAGAGACATAAGGTAATTAAGTGAAAGCACTTCTGTCACTATCAAGGGTCTGGCATTCCTGGCAGACTTTCACACTGACTTTGTCAGAACAAAATGGATTCTTCAGTCAATGCGCCAGAGTGATGCCATAAAAATAAGGCTCAACATCCATGTGAATGGAAGGTCATCATGTACTGAAACCCATTCACCTGAACCATCCTCAAATTAGCAAGTATTCAGAAATCAAGTTGTGTCACATTCTGCTTCAGCAATGACGGCTGTTTATTTCATTTCCTATTTTTACTCACTTATTGCTGGGACAGTTAAAGTGTCTTTTAATCAAGAAGCATGCCTTTCTCAGATTCATATTCACTTTAGATTTTGAAGAATTTCTGCTTATTTCCTTGGTTCCAAAACGCTGCTGGAGCTGAGATTTATGCTTCAGTACTCTGGCCCCACCCTAACTCCGTTTTGAAAGCCGATTATTCACTGTCACAAAAACCTTCTGGTAATCATTTAACAGATACTTGCCCTGAACTATATTATGGATACACTGTAATTATCAACCTAAATGAGCACCGATGAATGAAAGCTATTTTAAAAGCAGTCACTACATCTCTCTTGATCATTTCCCACAACTTTATGTCACCTGATAATTATTGGTTCTCTCTCACACACACTCTCTTTATTGACTGCTCAGCTTTTGAGAGCTAAAACTAATACTTCAGAGAGACATCTTAAACCCTTGCTGTTTCTAATACATTCTTTTACATGGCCTAATTATTTCATCTCTTTCCCTCGTCTATGCCTCTTGTGACTGCTGCTGTAACTTTTCTTTTGTGTTATTCATAGATGGGATTCTTCTCTTTGACTTGTATTCTTATGGGGGTAGGGCTTTCTTAACGTTAACAACAGTGTGTGCGTGCGTGTGTATTTGGACATATATTCACATTCCCCCCTGGTATTTAGTGATTCCTGTTCTCAACAGTCCTCTTAAGCTCATCTATTTATCCTCAACATGCTTCACATCTAATATTAAATTTGTCTTTCAGGTTCCATTGATGCCAGTTTGGGAATTAAGTAAGTACACACATAAATTGGGGGGGGGGGGAATCATGGGAAGCCATTCTGCTAATAGACCCCTGAGCTGAGAGCTGAAAAATGGCTGTTCTTTCTATTGTACCATTATTAAATATGGAAGATGACAGTGAAAATGAGAGGAGTAGAAATAGCAGTTCTAACTCTGAGAGAAATACCCAGCTGGATATGAACTGAGCATGTTTACATTCTTTTCCACTAAAATCAATTGGCAATACAGTCTTGACAAAAGCCTCATTGATTTTGGTGGGTATGAAGAACTACTAACTTAGCAGCTACCTTCGCGACCCTTATAGAGTGCAAGAATGCTGGGTACACTGTAGCCAGTCAGGAAAATCAGAGCAGGTAGAAAATTAAAGTTTTCGAAGCTGTGTGCATGGAAAGCCAAGAGAAGAAAGAAGTGATGTGATGTAAAGGGATGTGAGTGGGTTTCTCATGATCCCTCACACATGACGGCCAGAGCCCAAATGGGTGGTTTACTGATAAACTTCCTTCCACAAGCAGAAGTGTGGAGAGACAATTTCCCTCTGTGCTACTGCTGTCCCCCAAAATTTGTGCCCAAATTAGTTTTCTAATGGTTTTGGGAAGGCTGCAAAGGAATGGGAGAGGAAGCAGGTTTTGTTGGACAGGTAGTCGAGGATCAACATGGTGTTGATTTAGGGCTCATGTTTTTTAGTTGTGCAGAAGCTTTAATAGTATGCCAAGTTGTGGATGACACAAACATAACTGTGAAAATGCTGGCTGCTGTACAATTATCCTAATCAAGGAGCCAGGGTTGAGAATCACTCCACGCATATTTGAAGTACCATAAAACAATCACCTGGTGTGACGTGCTGAACACTTCACTTGTTCACAATTTTTTTTCTCTTCACCTTTTGCCCACTTTCCACCTGGTGGCTGCTATTTTCCTCTTAACAGAGTTGAAGTGATAAAGGACAGGATCAGATTTACATGATAAATAATAAATTATACTTCATACCCTCAGTTCAGTCACAGATCATATATTGAACTAGCAGAGACATCCATCTTCACAGAGGTTAGAAAGCCTGCACTCTCCCACCTGCCACTGCTCCAGACCCTCAGTTTCTGTCTGCTGTTTCCTCTCTCTACCCCTTCAGCTTTTCTTTCCCACCTTCTCTCCTACTGTCCTTTCTTTCACTAGGGATATTTCCTACCCTATTTAGGAGGCACTGGGAACTTCTTTGCTTCTGCTTCTGCCTCAGCCCCTTTCCGTTCCTTCACAAATTTCTTCTGGGGAGCTTTGCAGATAGAAGCACCTTGTAGATCTACCTAGAAACGTTTGCTGCTTTTATGTGCCATCAGGTTGCTCCCAACATATGGCAACCCTATGAATGAGAGATCCCCCAAATGCCCTGCCCTCAACAGCCCTGCTTAGCTGTTGGAAACTCAATATGTGGGTTCCTTTAGGGACTTAATCCATCTCATATTTGGTCACCCTCCTTTCTTGCTGCCTTCCACCTTTCCCAGCATTATTGTATTTTCCAGGGAATCCTGTCTTTTCACAAGGTACACTGTAGCGGGCCACTCTGAAGCCTCTGCCAACTCAGGCCTCCAGGAGTGCTCACTACTCTTCTTCAACTGCTGCCACCACTTATATTTAATATTTTAAAAGGACAAGTGTTTCTTCCAAAACAAAACTTGTTTATTGATATAATAAAATAAAATGAGTAAATCACAGGTAAATAATCAAGCTGTAAATCACTGTTTCTCATTCATTAAGTCACACAGACTTTTCCTCACTGACTATTTTGGCTCACAGGCCTTCAAACATGCTCATCACTATCTCTCAGTCTCTCAATCTCCTCATCTAATCCTCTCTCTCACACCTCACACACCCCTTTTATATTTCAGCTCCTCCCCCTTCTGCACCACCCTCCATCCCCTCATTGGCTGATGTTCCACTGCCCAGCTGTGACGGACAGGTGAGAGCAGAGCTGAATGTTACAGTACCCAAAATAGGTTTCATCATGTTGGCCTCCAGAGATAGTTCAGGCTTGATTTGATCTAGAACCCCCTTGTTTGTCTTTCTGACAGTCAAGGGTGTCTGCAAAACTCTTCCTCAGCATCACATTTCAAACTAATATATTTTTTTAACTGTCAGGTTTCTTTACTGTCCAGCTTTCACATCCATACACCATGATTGTAAAGAATTGCTTAGGAGAATAGAATATCCCAGGTCTCATTTCACCTTTGTCTCTAGGAAAAGTTATTGAGGTGTCCCACCTATTAACTGAAGACAGCGCTGCAAGCTACAAGCAACATTTAGATAACTGAAAGAATAAATCAGTTTTAAAACAAAACAATTCCAAGGTTCCCAATTCTAGGGTTCTTTTAGTATCCATGCCAAGCTTAGGGTGTCTTGATTTTACTGTTCTGCAACTATGGCGGAAATAGGCACGGAGGTACACATATATTCCCTTTTATTATTACAGCCAAACATAACTTTTCTTAAAGATACTTTTAATTTCAGCATTCCCTCTTTGGTGAGCTACTCTTTACCAGAATCATGTCTCACAGTAGTTTTCACCCTGTTCTGTCAAGATGTTGGGTACCTAGAATTCCATCCTATTCAATGTCATTTGACATGATAGCATCCTTGCATTTGTTACCATTGTACATTTGAGAGAAGTATCTACAGAAGTAGGCACATTTCGCTTAATCTGAAGCAACGTGACTTCCCCACAGTTTGGCCTGTGAGCCTTTTAAGGTTTGCATTCCACTTGGCTTGATAGCATTCATGTACATTGCTCGCTGATTTTTAATGAAGGTTGGCAAGGAGAAAGAAAAAACAAAGGAAAGGACTAACTTCATTTAGCCCCGGCACTAAACTTTAATTAAAAGGATTCAGCCACAGACTTGGAGCACTAAAGCATTTTGTAGAGTTAAGTAAAGAAAGACGACACTGTTGTCATAATCACATTACCTGGCTGTGCTGAGATTACTATCTCCCTGGGCCTTTGAACAGTTCAGAACTGTGTCATGAGTATACCTCTGTGTTGAAAATAGGAAAAGCTGAAATGAGCATTTGAAAATTTCTCTGCACCCATCATAATGAAAGCCAGAGGGGTGTAGTGGACAGAGTGTTGGATTAGGGCTGAGGAGATATGGGTTCAAACCCCCACTCAGTTATGGAAGGGTGGCACTGAAAAATGCTCCTTAGATATCTGACATATCTTGTAAACCCTGTGAGGGTCATCCTAAATTCGGTGCAACTAGATGACACATAACATATCCACCCACTAGAACCATTCATATCCCCTGACCATTGAGCTTTGCTTACCTAGCCCCCACCTCCTTAATGTTCCGCAGTTGGTGTTTAGACACACCATTCTAAAGACAATATTACAGACACTTCAGGTTTCTCTACTTCAACCTGTACTACAAATGACAGTTGACACAAGAGTCCTGTAAGTATTATTACTGGAGAATAATCAAGTGTTCTGTGTCTTTTATAGCACTTTTAGAAGTCATTTTAACCTGTTATGTCAGATATGCAAAATTGTGTGTGTCATTTCTAATTACAGATTTGTAATTCTAGATATTGTTAACTTGTGATTCCAGATATTTGCAAACTGTTATTTTAGCTGTGTTTTTATTTGCATTTTAGTCACCCTTGGTTGTCATGAGGAATGCTTGGATATTTCTAATAATAGTAACAATGATATAAAACATGGTCCCATCTCTTCATGACTAACCGTTTCCCTTTGATCTGCTACTCTGCATTTTTGTACTTCAAAGGATATTTCCTACCGTGTTCCTAAATCCCCGCTACTACGACTATAGATTCTTTCCAACTTATTCCTTTGAAAACAATTACGGAATTAAAATATTCTCACTGTGCAGTACAGTAATGGTATTAGATACTGGGGGGCAGAGGGAGAAATCCTTAAAAAATATATATGCATACACATATCTTTCAAATGGCTAGGGTGACCACATATCCTCTTTCAGAGAGGACAGTCCTCTACCTGAACAATGACCAAAGGATACCTTCCTTTTGAAGGTGACCTCCATTGGAAGGGCTATCTAACCAAAGTCATATTTAAAGACAAAGAACTATCATGAGGGAGATCAAGGACGTTGAAACTGTCCATCCAAACTGAGAACCTGAGCAACAGGCACATAGGTCACCTGGACACAGTCTCCCCCACTTGAGTGATATGCATGATAATTCTGTTTAAACTGTTGAAACCATACTGTATTTTATACTGTATCTCTATATATCAATCACCACCACTTTGTCCTTTTTCCTTATTCACAAGTATCCACTCTATGAATGCCAGATTATGAAGAGGTCCCAAAGACACCCCCCCCCCAATGTTGACAAAACGTAGCATTCCAGTGTTGTTCAACCATTTTAAAAAATCTTATTTTTGGAAAACAAATGTAGCTCAACTCTAAATCCCTGCAATGACACTTTTCCTGCCAACATTCAGGACTTTTAAACTAAAAAGGATATTGTCTTCCATTTCAGGATTAGTCTTCATCACTTAACCTGTTGGCACCACTTCTCCCCAATCCCCACCCACCCCATCCTCTTCAGCAGGATGCAGGAACAATTTGACATACACAACAGCATGTTTTTCACTACAAGCTGTGCTATCATCCTGTAAATATTCTTATTAAATGTCATTACCCAAATGTTGCTAGGAATGTGTTGAAAATGCATTTTATATTTATCCCTTTTTCCAAACATCAAGAAGTCTGCAGCATACCCTGTTCCTCCTACAACAATGATTCAGGCTGTAATTCAGGAAGCACCCTCATCCATGTGAAATAGGAGTTGCCTAGCATGTTGGTACTACCTCTGCTCAAATTCTTGTGTAGGCTGACCAATTGGTACCAAACAGGCTTCTTGTGGAAGAGAGCTGGGCCCATATGATCAGCACATTTTCTGTATACTGGATATATACCAAGGTTTCTCATACTGAGCCTAGATGGCCAAACAATAGCATCATACGTTGCAGCTTTTATAGTTCAACCCAGCTTCACATGGCTGTATGTGTCCCTTCTTTTAATGCTTCTCCACATAAACATTTCTGGTACACAGAAATTAAATATATTTAATAGAAAGTCACCCAAGCCATTCTTCCAGACACTAATGGAAGATAAGTATCCCTGATCCACAGTATCCTGTTCAAAGGATAGTCCCAAATTTGAGAGTGGAGGTGGCCCCATGTACTGTCATGGGAGAGAGCAGAACTGATGAAGTCCTAGTTGTGTGGCAAGCCTGCATTGGAAGAGGGCAGAATTGCTTCTGAGAAATGGGCACATGAGGAATGTGGAACATATCCCCAAATCCAAGTAAAACTCAGTGAACCATGTAATATGGAAACCATGAGATTTTTTTTTAAAGCATTCCCAGGCAAGGGAATACATCCAGTGGCAAAATGGCTGCCACCACTCCCATGAGGGCCCATGTTATCTGCTGTTTCATCTATATCACACTATATCACACTTTCATCTATATGAGGTGTGAGGAGATTTCCTGAGCCTAACTCTGCTTCTGGGGCTTATTGACAACTCACTGCTAGTCCATGCTTCATGCAGCTGCTATCAGGGCTTGTTGGACAAAAAGACTCACACACAAAAATCAGATGATTTTTTTTCTCCTCCTCCAGAGAAATCTTTGCCTTGAGATTTGTTTTCCTACCTGGAGATCTGAGGAGACAGTAATTTTCTGAGACTCTAGCTGGCACCACAAAGAGCTGGCAGCCTTAGAAGCAGAGCCAGGTCTCATGAGGCCAAAGAAAGAAACCTTTTTGATTAACAGAGATACTGACATCATATTCCTTGTCCTCTCTGAGCTCAACTGCAGTCTTAAATGTAGCTGGTGGGCTGAGCAGGTTATTTTTTTCCCCAACAACTATGTGTTGTTATGAGTTATTCCTCCTCAAATCCAAAGTATTTTGGAATGGGCAGTTAAGAGCCACAAGGTTTATCATTGTTGTTCCATGATATAAACAAAAAGTCCAAAGCTGGGTTTATTGCTATGGCTTGATGGAGTTGCCTACACGTTTGGACTCTCCATGGAGATGTGGTGAGCTTCCTGAATTTCTCATGGAATGCAACTGTTGGAGACTGAGTATCTGCCTTTTCAGGAAATGAGTACTGCCTCCTCATTCCACATCTTCTATCTCTAGTCAAGATGATGAGTAAATAGCTACGTGGGTTGGAGGTTTCAGGACTCCTGCAATCTTTTTTACCCACTGGCTATTTTTAATACCTCGGCACAAATAACACTTTCTTTAAGATGTATAACATTCACTTATACTAAAACCCTCCTCCCTCCCCTTCTATTTCATTGAGGCTCCCACTGAGACAGTCTGGTCTTTTGTGAGCATAGAGAAGCTTAAAGGCTAGCTTTGCAGCGGGTAGTGGAATCCCCTGTTTACTGAGAAAAGTTTTATTAAGATTCACAATCCTGTTTTGCAACATCCTTATCCAATTCCTAGCGTTTTATATCTGGGTGGGCAATGGAGGGAAGTTTTCCACTTCACTCCAACATGCGAGGTTGCTTTTCAAGGCCCGGGAGCTAAGCCAGGGAACAGATGGCAACAATCCTACATGTTATTCTTTAATGAACCAGGTGTGGATTGTAATAGTTAATTTCTACAGAGTTGTAAGAAAGTTGTCTCCATCATTTTATTTTGGGAAACAGGGCCCACTGAAGACATGCTGTTGCCAGAAGCAATGTAGCGAATACTGCCATCATTTCTTGCCTAGTCAAGGTTCTCTGTATCCAAAGTCAAGCTATTCTGATTCCTAAGGCAGAAAATGCCATAATAACAAATTAAAGGACAAATGATTTCCTGTTCCTCCATGACATTCCAACATTTGCTAACTCATTCTAGCTATTTTTATTTGTGATATCCCAAGGGAATAGAAAAAAAACCCCAACTATGTTTATTTTCTCCCTAGGGATAAAATGATTGTCTTTAGGTCAGCTGACCAATGCTTAGAAGCCCTCAGTGGAATCTGAAGATACTCTAGAGTTGATTTGGTTGTCAGATTGGACAACAAAACACTTTTTGACATGCCAGGTCAGTATAAGTTGGCAGTGATCTGAAGCACAAACTCCAGAATGTTTTTTTTTCTTATATTTCATGATTTCATGTTGATCTTGGTAGGTGGGGATGGAATGGCTAAAGGTTTGAGACCGGCCGTCTCTCTTCTTCGCACCACCTTCTCTTGTGTTGCTTGAATCATCAAATGAACATCAGGGATTAGAAGCCTTCCCAGGGCATAGCTTGAAAAGTATACTCATTTCAAAGTTTTCAACATCATTTCATCCTTTGATTTTTAAACTGATCATTTTGCGTTGGGTGTGATCAGAAAAGCCCAACCGCTTCCTCTTCTTATTTTCAAGAATTGTACAGAGCATCAAATTGTAGTCATCAGACTAGAATTAAGCCTCTGATTTCCTTTCAAGGAGGCAAAAATTTCACACTTTTCTGCATGCAATTCAGTTTCTTGGTAGTGTATAATGTTACAGTTCAATGAGTTGCTAATTAAGCCCAATTGTAGAACAAAGGACAATCTGCCATCTCACTCAAGGAGTTCAATCGGAACTTTTAAAATGCTATACTTAAAAAGGAATCCGCTCTGCCTAATTTGGCTTGTGGCTTATGTGTTCCATATTTGATGCTTTTTTTGGATTTTAGAATCTCTTCCAGGGACTGCAAGGACCCCATGCAAGCTTATCAAGAGTTTTCAGAGCCTGGAAAATTTCCTTTTTTGTGTAACAACATTACTATTTGGGAAGAAGGTTGATTTCTCAAATCTGGCATTTCCTATTTAAGAAAACCAAGAAAGACAAGAAGCTTAGCTCAAACACAACTGACCCTCCTGGTGCAATGCACAACCATGAGAGATGTGTGCACACTCTTGTGTCACATTGATCACATAGGATATTCTCTCACAGGATGGCCAGACTGATTCTCTTACAGAAACGATGAGGAGCTCCCCTTGTGCTACCTAGGGCCAAATGTGATTTTCAATCCAGAGGTTACTGGAAGGCCATGAGCCCAAAAGAACTGGAAGGCCACCTCTGAAGTATCTTAATACTGATCCCTGGAACTGTTGACATTAACCCTGTGCATGGCAAAGGTTCATCTCAGTGACAATCTTGGTCTCATAAATACATAACCATTCTCAGCTACCACATCAGGAGCATCACTTTTATGGTACACCAGGTGCCTCACATCAAGGTGGGCTACAAGATTTTTGGAGTGGTTCAAGCATTGCCACCTTCAGTGGGCCTCTCAATCTGGATGAAGCAGGACATAAAAATTGAGCATTTTTCTTTAGGCTGCTTCTCATTCTTCTGGATACTCTATACAAGTCAGAGATGATAGTTCCTTCAGGATGGTGGAATCATCACTCTTCTTGGAGGTCTGAAAAAAATTGGCAAACCAGCTACCTTCTTTGGCCAACCATGGCACATAGCATACAAAATTGGACATTATATAACTGAGATAAACAAACTTTGGTTGCTAAGTCTTGCCTGATTCTCTCCAATGCTCTGTTGTGCACAAAGGATAGTTTTATTGGGTTTGATAGGATCAGATCGGGAAATGTTAATATTTTGAACTCCAACCCTCAGAATTCCCCAGCTGACACAGCTAATGGTTATGATGGCTGGAGGATCATGGGAGTGGTTTCAAAAAATAACTTTTCCAGGTCTATATGAGAGCTGTTTTTGGCTAAGGCCCGGATGCTCTCCCCACCCTGTGCTCACTTAACACATTTCCTTGTATCAGATATTTAATTTTCACAAATGTTGAATGGAGCACTTCTGTGAAAACATAAATATATACTGTATATTTATGGCAACACAACTCTGTAAATGCACAATATAAGGTACTATGTAAGGTTACATAAGGTCAGAAACAGGTCTTTGCCTGGAAGAAGCTTATATTCTAAATATGTGAATAAATCTCAGAGCGGGGGGCTGAACAGAGGTGATGAAAAATACAACAAGAGAGTGACAAGAGAAATAATGTGATAAGAGACTGTGTGTATGAATGAGATGCCAAGCATAGCAGCCAATAAGAACAAAAGAGAAGCTATAAGAGGCACAGACTAGTGTCATGGCAGAGACAAGCTGTTCAACAGCATTAATAGAAATTGGCTCCAAAAACTTAGCAAATTTTCATTCCACTTCCAAGTCTGTTGTATTCTGGGAAGACTGTTCTTTAATGTGTAAGAAGAGATGTTTGCTGTTGTCAGTCTCAATTGATTTTGACATCTGTTGCCATGCAACCCACCCATCTTTTCTGACACAAAACCAGGCTGTCCAGCTTTGCAAGAATATGAGGGATGAGATGTTGCTTCCTTTTCATCAGAAGCTGAGACACTATTCTACTCTCTTCTCTGCATGTACCCACTGACTTAAGAAGGGAAATAGTGATTCATGGGATAACAAGGGGCAGAATATTTGTTGGGTGCCAATTCTAACTTGCAAAGCTTATCAAACAATTTATTTTATCATTTATCGAACCACATTATTTTTGCATGCTAAAGCACGTTGAAACAACTAGGTATCTAGAAGTGTCATCAGGTTTTAAGTCATGTTAGAAATCTGTGTTTTGGAACAAAATAATAAAAATGGTATGCCATGAAGTCACTATGATTTATTGAGACCTTCAAAGGTTTTTTCAGATACAAAATATTCAGAAATGACCTGGCAGCTCTTCTTTCTGGTGGTATTCTGTGATTATGCACCTTCATAAGGATGCACAGGTACTCTTATCAGCGACATATGCTGTCAGGGTAACTCAGCTAATTCATTTTCTGGAAGGCACTGTGAGCAATATAACTCCTGATCCTTGGCTGCGGGCTAAACCACAGAAGCCTGTGCTGCAGAATCACAAGACCAGCAGTCGTAAGATCAAATCCACGCAATGGAGTGAGCTCCCGTCGCTTTGTCCCAGCTCCTTGCCAACCTAACAGTTCGAAAGCATGTAAATGCGAGTAGATAAATAGGTAGCATCTCGGTGGGAAGGTAAAACGATGTTCCCTAGTCACGCTGGCCACGTGACAACATAAACTGTCTTCAGACAAACGCTAGCTCTACGGCTTAAAAACGGGATGAGCACCGCTCCCTAGAGTCAGACACGACTGGACTAAAAATGTCAAGGGGAACCTGGCTCCACAGGTAGGTGCTCCAACCAACAGAGCTATATCAACCTTGAGTTAAAATAACATTACAACATGATGTCCTAATGGGTTTAAGATGTTTGTGTGAGGGGCTTCTCTCAATTCTGCTGCCCCCAGAGGCATATTTGATGGGGAGAGGTCATTGTTGGTGGTCACTCCCAGGACCTGGGACTCTCTGCTGAGAGAGAGTACACGGGCCCCTCATCTGTAGTTCTACCACCAGTAGGCAAAATGTCCAACACCTCTTTGACATTTAAGCTATCATAACAGAAGGGTTTTTTTTATTGTTATGGCATTCACTTTTGATTCTTTGCATTCATTTTAATTTTACTCTTGTAACCTTTCTCTGTGCCATTTTAAGATATAAATATATTAATACACAAATAAAGTATTTGAATACATATGGAAATGCAAACTTTTATACTTTTTTTAAAAATAACTAACAAATGAGATGGCACATTCTTACCTGTAAACATACAGTACATGGAAGTGATTTGAATCAGAAACAACTACAGTGGTGCCTCCCTTAACGAGCGCCCCGTTTAATGACGAAACCGCTTAGCAATGAAGATTTTGCAATCGAAAAAGCGATCGCATTGCGACGTTTTAAATAGGAAAAATCGCTTTGCGATGATCGGTAAGCTGTTTCACTTACTGATTATCGCATAGCGATCTTTTTCCTACAGCTGATCGGTGGTTCCAAAATGGCCACCGGAAAAAAACATGCCCCCCCGCTGTGTTTAAGGATGGATTCCTTGCATACTGGGCAGCAAAAATGGCCGCCGTATGGAGGATTTTCACTTAAAGTAAGTTTTAAGCCCATAGGAACGCATTGAAGGGGTTTCAATGCATTCCTATGGGCTTTTTAAAATCGCTTAGTGATGTTTTTGGTTAGCAGCGATTTTTGCTGCACTGATTAACATCGCTAAGCGAGGCACTACTGTATTATCACCTTATCCTGTTCTGTATCTTTTTTCCCCTGTAGAAAAAAAAGAGTCCTGGACTTTTGAACCTACATTTTGCCTCATGGGGTTTGTCATAAGGGACGAAGAAGGAAATGAATGATTTTTTAAAAAACGACAGCTTCATAATCCTCCAGTCAAAATGGCTGTGGGATTCTGGGAGTTGTAGGCCTTGAAAACAAGCATCTGTCTTCTCTGATAATGGTTCAGATTCTGGTGTATAACATTTGCACCTATGAATCCACAGCCAGATTGTAAAAAAAAAAAAAAAAAAATCTAAGGAAGGCATGACACAAAGACATTGACAGTTATAGTGCTGGAGTTTCTGTATGCTTCTTAGTAAAATGTATGCAGCACATGAAATTTCAGCTTGGCGCTTCTCAGCAAGGGCTGAAGCTACACATTGCAGATAAACCACAGAAAGCAGTTTTTAGCAGATTATCTGCATTCCAAAGTGAAATTGCTCTTATCATATGCATATTTTAATACTGCAGAAACAGAGTCACTAGGTCTCTCCCCACCTTCCCCTGGACAAGTACAGTGGTGCCTTGACTTACAAACTTAATCCGTATTGGAACAATGACCGTAAGTCAAAACGTTTGTAGGTCAAAGCACCATTTCCCATAGGAATGCACTGAAAACTGATTAATCAGTTCTGGCCGAATTAAAAAATACCAAAATAAATACATAAAATGCAAGTCCCACGCTGGGACTGAAAAAAAAATCACCAAAAACAAAACAACACCGACCCTCAACCCCCCCACCAACAAAACAAAAACTTTTAAAAAAAGAAACACTTTACCGGTCCGAAGCCTCCAAAGCCTCCTGGACTTTTACCGCTGCTGCCCGGAGGCCTCTGGAACTGGCACCAGGCCCGCACGGAGGTGCAGGAAGACCGGGAAGGGTCCAGGAGGCCAAGGGGTGGCAGTTTTAACCCTCCTGGACCCTTCCCAGTCTCCCTCCACCATGACGTGGGCCTAGCGGGACCAAAACCGCCACCCCCTTGTCCTCTCAGACCCTTCCCAGCCTTCCTCCACCGTGGCATGGATCCATAATCGCCACCCCCTCCCCCGGTAGCCCTCCGGGAGCCTACCTGGCCTTCCTCCACTGCCTTTTCCTGTTGGGGCGAAAGAGCTACCAAGAAGCAGCCTCTTTCACCACCTACGATTAGATATTTGAGGTGCCCGCCTTTTACCGTTCCTAGGTCAAAGCTCTGGCCACAAGTCAAAACAAAATTTTGTGGCCGGAGCTGTCCATAAGTCAAATTGTTCATAGGCCAGGGTGTTCATAAGTCAAGGCACCACTGTACAATTCTAGCCAGCCAGCACTGACCATCCAGGAGTGCTATTTACCCCCAAGGAGTCAGCTTCTGTGGCTCCTTTTTTTGCTGCCCATGGAGCAAGCTGCCCTTCCTCTTCCACAGGGCATGCTTGACCAGCAGGTACCTAAATAACAGCAGCTGGGGACTGCATTTTAGCAGCAGTGACCCAGGAACAGCCTAGAGTTTGCAGGCTCAGGCCCTGGCCTGTGTGCCAGCTGCTGGGACACCCATGAGGCTCACCTGGAAACTTGGAGGGAAGGCCTATTAAAGGAGTGGTTCTCCCTCCCAGAACATGCCTCAGCAACTGATTTGTTTTGCTGTTCCTGAGCTTCAGAATCCCTGCATTCCAGTATTCATGCATCTGCTCCTGCCTTGGCCACTGCTCTTGCCTCTGCTTGCTTCCTACATCTCTGCATCTTGATTCCAGTGTTCCTGCACCTGATTCTGTCCCTGTTCCTGCCTTGGCCCTTGCTCTTGCCTCTGTTTGCCCCCTGCATCTCTGTGCCTTGTTCTGGCTCTGTTCTCCGAGCCCATTGGTGCTCCTGCCTCCACTTGATCATGACCAACTGTGCAGTGAGTGCCTTTGGACTTGATACTCTGTGTGGTGCCCTTGCTTCTGCTGAGTGGCTGCCTGGGATCTCTTAGACTGTGATAGGATGAAGACTGCGTGCTGTGAATTGTAAATACAGTGGTGCCCCACAAGACGGTGTTAATCCGTTCCATTGAAATTGCTGTCTTGTGAAAACATTGTCTTGCGAAAAGCGTTTCCCTATTGGAATGCATTGAAATCCATTTAATGTGTTCCAATGGGGAAAAATCATTATCGTTTTGCGAAGATTGCCCATAGGGAAGCCATTTTGCGAAGCGCTGATCAGCTGTTTAAATCGCTGTCTAGCGAAGCATCGGTCCTGAAAACACCCGTTTTGCGAAGCCGCCAATCATGTTAAAATCGTTGTCTTGTGAATCATTGGTCCCCCCCCCAAAAAAAGCCTTGCGAAGCACGGACCACAACATCGTACAGTCGTGCCCCGCTTTACAATTACCCCGCATTATGATGAATCC